TTGTATAGGTATATAAAGGTAAAGGTACCCCTGACCATTAGGTCCAGTCGCGGACGACTCTGGGGTTGTGGTGCTCATCTAGCTTTGATGTGCTTTCGAACTGCTAGGTTGGCAGGAGCAGGGACTGAGCAATGGGAGCTCACCCCGTCACAGGGATTCAAACCGCCAACCTTCTGATCGGCAAGCCCTAGGCTCTGTGGTTTTAGACCACAGCGCCACCTGTGTCCCTTGTATAGATATATAGATACACACAGATTCAGATTTCACACACATAGCAGAGGATGAGAGGGTGGATCCTTTTTGCTCACTTTTCTCCCCCCTCTGTCTTATCTTCCCCACCCTCAGTCTAATCAGTGCTTTTGGAATGTTGCTAAAGAAAAAAAATAGTGGTGGCATTATTGACAGTCCTCTCATGACTGTGTCACTCAGGGGCACTCTCCTGCCTAGTAATTTGGAAGTCTGGGCAAACAGGGTGGGAAGGAAAGGGATCTGGATGCAGGGAGCAGGGAGTTCCCGTTCACTGCTTAGGGCGGTGAATCAGCCTTTGCAGTTATTGGGGAGCTGGGTTCAGCAGAACGCACAGGTGACCATGACAATGGCATGAGCTTTTAAGCTGGGTTGCCACCACCCTCTCCTATGGATTTGAACAAGATTGCTATTAAAAAAAAAAAGCTGCCAACGTGCCACCGAAATGTCAAAAACTACATGGGCCACCCCAAACCTCTTGGTGGGCCATACATGGCCCGCAAGCGACCAGTTGGCACCCTTTTTTTAGAATAATATAATGAAAAAATAAGTCCAGTCAGTTGGTTCCAGGCTTAGTCATGCATAGATTAGACCCACTGAAAGGGGCCCTGTGGGACTTAGGTTAGGCATCGCTAAATCATGTCCCATTGATTTCAATGAGTCTAAGTACAATTAAGTCTGGGTCCAACTTTATATGAACTCGCAAGCTGAATATAGAAGAGAAGTGATACTGCTCAATTGCAGAGGATATGGTTTCCTCGCCAAGGTCCACCTCCCAATTTCTTTGGCATCTGCACATTAAAAGAATCTCAGGTAATAGGGGGAAAATGCTACAGTACTTGAGACCTTGAAATACCTGCCTGTGTGTGTGTGTGTGTGTGTGAGAGAGAGAGAGAGAGAGAGAGAAGAGATAACTAAGTAATAGATGGAGAGGACCATATTGAGATGAATGCGAGTAAATGTAATCACACTGCCTTTTGTTCACATAATCTTCTTCCACCAAAAGACTCTCTTTTTATACTGCATAAAAATACGTTAATAGCATTTAATATTAATTGGTGCTGAGAGCGGTGCAATTAATCAGTTAATTCTGTCAAAAAGCAGAGATTCCTAATCATATTTAATCAGATTCCCCTATGCCAGGTGTGCCATTAGTGCTAAATCAAACAATAATAACAATGATTTGATTGGGAGGTATTGCCTTATCTATTAAAGGTTTTCAGGGCTTGAGATTTCATAAGTTCTGAAGGTAAAAACAATACAGCATGTGTCCAGGTAACCGGAATTCCCCAGAACATTATTCTACTTACATAAATTTTTATTTTATTTTTATACAGTGCTGAGCGAATTTGCCAACTTATAACCAACAGCAGTTGCTTCTTTTTTTTCCTTTCTTTCAATAATAATAATAATAATAATAATAATAATAATAATAATACAATTCCAGGTGTTAGAACTTAGAAATGTGTATGTACAGAAATCTTTGAAAGATTATTACAGGAGAAATTAAATAATTGAAATGGGGGCATGCCTAACAGACTCAAACTGAAAACAAATGCTGTGAGATAGTCACAGTTCCCTTATCCGTGTTTAGTAGATGTTTTGGGAGCAAAGTTGGAATGCTTGCAAACATTAATGGGTATATTAATGGGGATTGACTGGTTTTTCAGTTAAAGGTCTATTAACAAGAATTTAATCAAGATAGAGCAAAATGTTTTCTTGTGAAGTTGATTGTTGGTAAATGGTATTAATAATAGTTATTTTAGTATTTTGCTTGAAGGAAAATGGGACTTAAAACTGGACATAACAGTGTATTTTCACAGTTGTCAGAAAATGCCACTGATTGGACATAAGAGGTATGCCAATGGTCAACCTTCTCTTTCTTCCAGGTTCCCCTCCACTCGCTGAATGTATCTTGAAGCCTTGTGATCTGTTCTTGTCTAGCCTAATACATATATTAGCTTGGGCAATGGATTATTTGTGCCTCATACCAGCTCTGCCGGTTATGCTGAGCAGCCAACATATTGCTAATCTCCATTCCTCCCTGCTATTGCCAATGCTTAATGCTATCCTTGCCTGGCCATTTTGTTGGATAACCGCAGGGCCCTCCCACGTCTCAAGAACAAGGCAGCCCAACTTTTCATACCGAGTAGGCTGCAGGGGTACTTCTCCATGCAACCCATGGGCTACACACTGCCTTGTTGTGTGTGCATGCTGGTGCAGAGAGTGCAAGTCCAAAATTTGATGGCCCTACCCTGGCTTAGTGAGGTGCTGGGCTTTGGGGGGAAAGTGCAAGGCTCTGGCAGGGTCCTAGAGCTCTTCCACTTCCTTCCCAAAGCTGAGAAAGAGCTAACTAGGCTTTGGGAAGGAGGAGAGCGGACTCTAAGACCCTGTCAGAGCCCTCATGCCTTCTTTCTCAAAGCCCTGTGTCTCACTTAACCGGCTAAGCCAGCATGAGGACTGAGGAGGGTGGCCATCAAAAAGGCATTGAGGGCCACATGCAGCCCTTTGACTGTGTGTTTGACCACCCTGTTTTAGAACAAAGAGCCATTGGGGTATGTATGACACTTTCCTTGAGAGTGTAGAATAAGGTTACCAGATTTTTTTCAATGACTCCAGGGACACTTTTCAACTTCCTACTAAATACAGTGGAACTTCTATTTGTGACCATAATTCCATTCCAGAGGTCCACCTGGAGGTCAAAATGGGTCGCTGGGAGAGGTGCCATTGTGTACAGGCGTGGGCGGTGACTGCCCACTTCTGTGCATGCGCGAACAGCGATCGCCGCTCCTGCGCTTGCGTGAACGGCGGCAAACCCTCCGGTTACTTCTGGGTTTGCCGTGGTCGCGACTTGGAACGACCGTAATAAGAGGCGGTGGTAAGTAGAGGTTTGACTGTAGATGGATTTTGTCAGGGGACTGATTGTAAATCTGGGAACTGTCCCCGGAAAACGGGGATGTCTGGTAACCTTATTGTAGAAAACTTGCAGACTCTGGTTCTGGTGGAGAATCTGGTTTCTTGAGCTGTCACTCTTCATGTTTTTAAAACCAGACTTCTTGTCCTCCTGATTATGTTGTTGTAAACATAATAGTAGTAGTAGCAGAAGAAGAATTATATTGTGCAACAGTAAGCTTGTAACATCATGAAATTAAAATAGTTATATAAATGATGTAAATTCTGGTCAAGTAAATCAAATTTCAAAGTGGATAAAAATGGTTAAACTTGTCCTTATACAAAGAATATCCATTAAAATAATTTAAACAAAAATAATAATAATCCCAGGAGAAGGTGTCGAAAATTAAAATCAATTATTGTGGCAATCCACACTGTGGAACTTTTAGAAGCTAGCCCTTATGGCTGCAAAACTTTGCATCAAAGGATGTGTGGACAATGCTTGCATGCATTTCAGAAGCATTTTAGGGGATTAAATAAGGCTTCCAGTGTTTGGGGCGGACATGCTTGCTCCTCCCCATAACTAGCAAAATCAAAATATATTTTGTATTGTAGAATAAATTATGCAAAACAAAAGAAACTCTGCAGATTTGCATCAGTTAAACGGGTCACAGATCTAGCCTCTCGTCATGTGATTTGGCCAGCCTAGATGCAGAATTGTACGGGTGGTGGGTTTTTTTTGCTATTATTTTTTTTAAAGTGAGGAATATACACAGCTCTGTTGACTGGCTGCCATGGGAACTGTCTGGCCTGAAGCATCAATGGCTAGAGAAGGTTAGAGAAAGAGGTAGAGCTCAGAAGCAGTGGAGGAAGTTGCTTCCTAGAAGAGTGGGGGAAAGGGATAAAGCCGAGTGCCACCCCCTCCTCCCCCTTGCAGGGTGCCCTGAAGCTCAGCACCATCTGTGCTTAGCGTAATGCATTTTCTTGTTTGGTTTGGTTTGGTTTGGTTTGTTTCTTTTCTTCTGATTGTTAGAGTTTACTGCGGCATTGTACACAGCAGAATGTATTGCTGGGGTCACTTGCAAAGGATGCTGGGCAGTACATGATTTTGAGCTGGGCACTGTCCTATTTTAACAGGAGTTTTTCAGCTTGTGGCTAAACGGTTGTGCAACACTTAGGAAATGTGCTTTCATCGTTTAAGTTTTCAGTACCAGGATTAGCATTGTGTTTCCAAATCCTCCCCAGATTGACCTGGAAACATTTCCTGTAGTTACGTAAGAATAACCTATTAGGGAATGAGAAAGAGAACATTTATCTCCACTTAATAAAGAATATGCCCACAATCTCATCCATCTGAAAGATGTGATTTATGACCTTTATCTATCTTGCTAGGATTAAACTGTTTAGCCTGCCATTTGCTTCGTGCATTTAATTTGTTTTATAATATTAAATAATAATATTTCTCTAGCTGTGCAAATAAGGGGGGGGGGAGAGATCTTCATAAAAATCTTAAATCTGATTCTCATTTTTTAAATGTTTGCTTGACATGGTAGCATAACAAGGGGATCAGTTTTACAGACACTTTTATGTTCCTATCAAGAGTCAGTATCACAGGGGGGTAAGGGTAGATTTTTCCTTAACAAACTCTCGTGGGAATTTCTATCAGCAATGATATGCTGGAATTGTAGCAAACCTGAATAGCTGCTTCCTGCTTGGGTTAGTGGCTCTCAGATATTTTTCACAGGGTTTGTGGATTATCTTATTAAAAACAACAGCTCTCTGACGTGTTCCTCATCAGTACTGAAAGAACACTGGGCACCTAGCTGCTTAAGAGCATGAGAGAGAACCAGGCTGAACCAAAGGCCTATTAGCTGAGATAGCTTGGTCGGTTGAGCATGAGATTCTTAATCTCAGGGTCATGGGTTTGATCCCCACATTGGGCAAAAGTATTCCTGCATTGCAGGGGGTTGGACTAGATGACCCTCTTGGTCTCTTTCAACTCTTCAATTCTACAGTTCTAGTCCAGCACCCAGCAATAACAGCCAGGTGCTTTCAGGAAGCTCAAAAGCAGGACAGGAAGGAAATGTCCTTCCCTTGTTAATAGCCCCCAGAAACGGGTATTCTGTTTGGACTGGAAAATTTCATTTAGCAGCCATTAAGAGGACTATTATCCATCAGAGTCAGTGATGGGAAATCAGGAAATTGATTTTCAAGTTCCATTTCAGTTGGGGTTCAGGCATGGTTTTGGCACAGAAACTGCTTTCGTCACCCTGTATCATAACCTCTGTTGGGAGAGAGACAGGGAAAATGTGGCCCTGTCGATTCTCTTTGACATCTCAGCGGCTTTCGATACCATTGACCATGATATACTTCTGGAGCAGCTTTGCAGTAGTTCCAGTCATACTTGGATGGTCGTCTCCAGAGTGCGATGCTTGGGGAGTGGTCTTCAGCTGTGTGGAACCTTCAATGTGGGATTCTTCAGGGTTTGGACTGGCAGTCAGAGAACTTTGAATCTAGGCCATTACAAACTGCTTACAGAACTTTTGTTATTAGGAAACCATAAAGGGAGGGAGGGAGGGAAGGAAGGAAGGAAGGAAGGAAGGAAGGAAGGAAGGAAGGAAGGAAGGGTTGGATCCAGTCTAATTTATTTGAACTTAGTTTCCATTGAAATCAATAAGAATTAACTTAAATCATGAATAATATGTCCCACTGACTCAGTGGGGCCCATGTTCAACTCACCCCCAGCTTTCTTCATCTTAGAAGCCTCACATAAAACGAAGGGGGGGAAAGCCCTTTTGTTGTTACTGTGGTTAAACTGAGAATCAGAATTCTTTCTGATCTACTGCAAATTATTCTGAGCTCTATCAGTAGATTTCAATCTACTTTCCATCCCTGTGGTAATGTAATTATTAAGAGACTGAGCCAGTTCACATGTAACAGTAAACCGAAACCATGGTTTAGCTGAGGGTTGCGGGTTAGGGAGGGAATGAGGCAATATTGCAGCTGCTTCACTCCTTCCCCCAGTCTTGCTGGTGCTGTGCTACCATAGTTTTGGATTACCATTTCCTCTGAACCCGGGCTCATGATTTGTCTGTCCTAGACAAACCACAAGTGGTAAACCAAAAGCAAACCTTGGTTACAGCTTGTCAGGAGCAAGACAAACCACAAATCCTTGTTCAAATACTAAGCTAAGCCAAAGGATGGTGTGGCACTTGACAGGGTGACAGCAGTGGGACTACAGGAGGAGTGAAAAGTGATTATCTTACTGATTTGCAGTAAGTCATGGTTTGGCTTTGCATTACATGCAAACCGGGACCCAGAGATTTGAGAACCACTAAGTGTCTGTTTCACATCTTTCCAATGTAGTGAACTAGCTATGTAGCCTTAGGTAAAATGCTATCTATGCCTCAGTTCTTCATCTGCAATTTGTGAATGACAATACTATTTTACTGGGCTGTTGTAACATTTACCAAGATTATATATCAAAACATCTTTAATGTTATAAACAAGCATGGGGAATCTGTGTTGGACTCCCATCATCTTTCACCAGTGGCCATGCTGGCTGTTTCTGATGAAAATTTGAGTCTTAACAGCCTCTGGAAGGCTGTAGGTTCGCCATCGCTGACCTGAATGCAGCAAAATAATGCCTGTTAGTAGTACCACTATTAGTACTACTGCAAAATAAGCCACACTGAAGGAGTCTTTTTAAAAGCGGCGGGGGGAGGGGGAACCCTCATCACTTACTATGAACATTTTGTGCCAGCAGTTTCACTTTCTGTGGAAAGAAAGCAGCCCTTAATGTTTAAGGTGGAAACCTACATTTTACCAAACCTAACCCAGGATATTTGCTCCTAGGACTAAACAGCCTGTTGAAAATGCCTAACACAGTCAGTCACCAGAGGAATTATCTGCATGCGTACTTCACTTTGTGGCAGATGAACAGCATCACTGGGTAGAAACCAAGTGTGGGGGGGGGGGGGGTTGGAATCCTTGGAAGTCTGCATGTCAAAAGGCAGTTGGGAACTTAAAAGTTCATCCCTATACAGTGCAATGAAAAAATGTAGAGGATGAAGAAGTGGAAAAAATGGTGAACACAGGTTCAAATCTTTCATTTCACCAAAGTAGATTTAGTTATTAAAGGCATTTTTATTTGAAATTGACCTCTTTGTAGCCTCATGTGACAAGTGTTTATGAAGGTGGAGCTTCATTTTTTAGCATAGCCACCCATTGCAAATTGGGAAAAAATTCTCAGCAAGTATAATTACAATGAAGCACAACCTGAAAGTTTGGCTGGTGGTGTTTACTCATCCCAATAGAAGGTAGACAAAAGGGAAGGAGTTAAGTGGTTTTTTAAAATATCACCACCACCAAGAGGATTAGAACTGGTGGCTGCAGTTGCATGCATGTATAGGTGCTATACCGAAGCAGCTGTTTTTCAGGTAGAGTTACCTTGGATACATGAGACCAGTCTAGGACCCTGAATGCAATGCACATGCATGTATGATATCATTGCTACACTGTACATTTGTTGACATTTTGTGAGATGTCAAGAACTTGCCTTTAAACTGCTTTTCAGTCTCTTGTAAAGCTTTAGCCCACCCTGTGGCAGGGCTATCCTTGGCCTCCAGGACCCCTAGATCTCCCAGGGCCCGAATTCTCAGTCCTGCAAAAGACAAAACTGGATCCTCCAAGCTAGCTGTTGCATACCCTCCAACATTTCTCCGATGAAAAGAGGGATGTCTGGTTCCATAATGGTAATTTTACTATTTGTACTCCACACATCTTTGTGGGTTGCCCCAGCCACTCTAGGCAGCTTCCAACATATATAAAAACATAATTAAACTTTAAAAAACTTCCCTATACAGGATTGCCTACAGATGGCTCGATACCCTCCATACCCTCCAACATTTCTCCGGTGAAAATAGGGACATCCTCAAGGAAAAGTAGGACATTCGGGATCAAATCAGAAACCGGCATGGCTTCTCTAAATCAAGGAAATAGGGACACTTAGGGTCTGGCTGTTACAGGTGATCTCATGACAACTTTGCTCAGAGATTACTCACCTCATTTATTGGCCCAAACTTCCTTTGCCTGTGCCTAAGTTTGATGTCGTCTGCAAAATGAATATATGTATTTATACTACTAGGGGAATCCTGGTTTATTCCTACTAGAGCACAGATAATGCTTCTCCTCCCACTCTCTGTCGCTGAAGGATGAGTCTCTCTTGATGAGGCTCGGCTGCATGCTTTTGATGGCTTTATTTTTATATAAGGACTGTGTTAGTTTTTTCAAAGGTCAGGTAGCTTTTGTCCAAATGTACTTTCCCGGTTTTAAGAATGATGCCTCTTTAATATGATTCAACCATCTCCAGAAGCAGCAGCCTGTCATAAAGTTACTCTATTGATCTGTCAATATCACCGTCTTGTCTGCCAAATGAAAGATGGTTTAAACTCATAACCCAGGCCAGCAGCTTTCTTATTGTAAGTCGGACAAAAAATGGCATTGATCTTCCCAGCTGAAGTGTTCTTTTCACAGCTTGCCAGCACAAACACACTGTTGTCCCTTAGTCAGGGCTAATTAGCTAATAATTTAAGGCAACGGAGACAGCAGTCTTAGTTTAATTCAGTGTTGGGGGGAAATAGGCAGTAAGGCTTATAACATGGAGCAACTTTTCTGCTCAGCTATGATAAAAAAAAAATGTGTCCCAACTCTTTTGCTTGCTGTTTTTGATCTTTCCTCAGCACTAAAGAATAATGTTCTTGTTGAGGCAACTAAGTGGAGCTCTTTGTTCAGGCTTTATAGACAAAACAAAAGACAGAGGCTTGCTATCTGTAATACATAGTATTTAGCTATCAAGTTAAGAAGAGCTTCATGATTATTTGTTTAATGAAATCAAATCATTGGATTGATATGGCATGCAAAAGAGAAACTAAAACTAGGGACTGAATGCTGTATTATGTGTCACATCGGGGCTGCCCCACCTTTTGGCACATTTGGAAATCTAGGAAACTGTTGCGGACACCACAGATGGCCATTTCACAGAATGAAAGCTGGCAACACTCCCCACGCAAATCGGCAAAACATGCATACCTCTTCTTAAACAAAAAAGCAGGTGTCCCAGCCCTTCAAAAGGGCTTGTTAAGGGTTTTATTGTTTAAAAAAAAAAGAAGTTCTGAGGAACAGGGCATGGGTGGGTGTCTGTGGGTGCCATGGTGCCCAGTTTAGAGACCACAGTGTGAGATAAATGGCCAGGTGGTGTCCTAGATGACAACAAAATCTTCAATCAACCACACTCAGTGGGCAGGTTCTGAAGTTCATTTGTGGACTACTTCCAGGGTTTGGTGTTGCCCTTCAGCAAGATGCTGTCTGCAGGTCCCTACTTCTCAAAGTACTGACCTCATCACTATTGTGGTGTGTGTGGAGTCTCCTTCTTTGGAGGTCTTTAAGCAGAGGCTTGACAACCATATGTCAGGAGTGCTCTGATGGTGTTTCCTGCTTGGCAGGGGGTTGGACTTGATGGCCCTTGTGGTCTCTTCCAACTCTATGATTCTATGATTCTATTCTTGCAGCTGCCCATTTGCTTACCTCTCCCTTTGGGGCCCAGTCCTCACCATCTTCCAGGGGGAGAGGGCAAGGGATGCGGAGCTTGCAGATTTTCCTCTTGCTGTTCACTCCCTTTCCTGGAGAAGAGAAGTGAACAGGCAGCATGAGGTGTATGAGCAGTGACCGGGAGTTCTAAGGCCCTCTTAATAGAGCCCACTCAAAAGCATGAAAGGGAGATTAGTTACTATGAAATGCATGCAAGTCAGCTCTTAGTCCTCATAGTCGATATGGCAAAATGTGGATATGTAGAATAAGTGCATATGAGCTGAATGTCTCATTCTCTTAAACGTCCAGCACACATCATTGTCTTGCATTGTAGAATTTGCTGCTACGTTTTACA